GGGTTGTCGGACACATTTTAAAACTAGATACCCTAATGCTGATTGTGGCCAAGTTTGGTTAAATTTGTCTCAGTAGTTTTAGAGGAGAAGATTTTTGTAAAAGATTACAAAAATTTACAAAAAATTGCTAAAAATTGACTATAAAAGGCAATAACTCCTTAAGGGGTCAATTGACCATTTTGGTCTTGTTGACTTATTTGTAGATCTTACTTTGCTGAACATTATTGCTGTTTCCAGTTTATCTCTATCTATAATCATATTCAAGATAATAACCAAAAACTGCAAAATTTCCTTAAAATTACCAATTCAGGGGCAGCAACCCAACAACGAGTATTCTGACTTGTCTGAAAATTATAGGGTAGATAGATCTTGACCTGATGAACAATTTTATCCCTGACAGATTTGCTCTATATGCTGTGGTTTTAGAGATATAAGCCAAAACCTACATTTTACCCCTATGTTCTATTTTTAGCCATGGCGGCCATCTTGGTTGGCAGGCCTGGTCATCGGACACATTTTTTAAACTAGATACCCTAATGATGATTGTGGCCAAGTTTGGTTAAATTTGGCCCAGTAGTTTCAGAGAAGAAGATTTTTGTAAAAGTTAACGGACACCAAGTGATGAGAAAAGCTCACTTGGCCTTTCAGGCCAGGTGAGCTAAAAATGGAAGCCATTGTAGGGATGACACGCTGTCAATTTAGCTCTTGAAAACCGATAAATTCATCAACAAAGCATCATTAAGATCCTTATATACCAGTTGTATTTTAAAAGACAAATGTATCTACCAGCTCTTGTGCATCATTTAATGTACTCTCTGCCTTTACTCAAATAAAATGCTCCGCAGGGCGCAGCTTGATACGACCGCAGAGGTCGAACCCTGAACAGTTGGGGCAAGTATGGACACAACATTCAAGCTTGATACAGCTTTGCATTTGGATTGTTATTAAATATTTGACACAGCATTTATGTGGTCTAAGAACTTAAAAATTTCAAATTGGACATTCACCTATTATGGTCCAATATCCAAAATCTAAATGACCTCAATGTGAACAAAGTTGATAACGGGGCCCAAAAATCAAAAATCTAAATACATGGTTAGCTTCAGCATATCAAAGAACCCCATATATTTAATTTTTGTTGAAATCAAACAAAGTTTAATTTTGGACCCAGATTTGGACCAACTTGAAAACTGGGCCCATAATCAAAAATCTAAATACATGTTTAGATTCAGCATATCAAAGAACCCTAAGAATTCAATTTTTGTTAAAACCAAACTAAGTTTAATTTTGGACCCTTTGGACCTTAATGTAGACCAATTTGAAAACGGAACCAAAAATTAAGAATCTAAATACACGGTTAGATTCGGCATATCAAAGAACCCCAATAATTCAATTTTTGATGAAATCAAACAAAGTTTAATTTTGGACCCTTTGGACCTCAATGTGGACCAATTTAAAAACGGGGCCCAAAATCCAAAAACTAAATATACGGTTAAATTCAGCATATTAAAGAACCCCAAGAATTCAAGAATAAAACCCCATTGAAATTGGTCAAGAAATAAGCAATTTATAGGAAGTATCTTCTTTTGCACAATACTGTGCAATTAAATATTTCTTGCTATTGCGCAATACTGTACAATTGACAATTTCTTGCTATTGCGCAATATTGTGCTATTGGATATTTCTTGCTATTGCACAATACTGTGCAATTGAAGATTTCTTGCTATTGCGCAATACTGTGCAATTGAAGATTTCTTGCTATTGTGCAATACTGTGCAATTGAAAATTTCTTGCTATTGCACAATACTTTTTATATAATAATTAACACATCCTGTTTGGTGTGTATCTCCTACCATATCATTATTATTTGCTTTTAAATATTAATCAGAAATAACCAACTTAAAATGGAAAATTTTAAAAGAAAAAAAAAGGAAAAAAAAAAAAATCCCCCCCCAAATTTTTTGAACCCCCTTATGATTCATCACCCCCAAACTCAATCCCAGCCTTCCCTTTGTGGTATGGTACCTTGCAGTACAATTTCAGAGAGATCCATACACTTGAACACAAGTTATTGTCTGGAAACTAGAAAAATGTGTTTTTTGGCCCCTTTTTGGCCCCAAATTCCTAAAATATTGAGGCAATTACCCCCATCATCAATCCCAGCCTTCCCTTTGTGGTATGGTACCTTGCAGTACAATTTCAGAGCGATCCATACACTTGAACACAAGTTATTGTCTGGAAACTAGAAAAATGTGTTTTTTGGCCCCTTTTTGGCCCCCAATTCCTAAACGTTTCGGCAATTACCCCCAAACTCAATTCCAGCTTTCCCTTTGTGATATGGAACCTTGTAGTACAATTTCAGAAAGATTCATACACTTACACACAAGTTATTGTCATGAAACTAGAAAAATGCTTGTTTTTTGCCCCTTTTTTGGCCCCTAATTCCTAAAATTTTGAGGAAATTACCCCCAAAATCAATCCCAGCATTCCTTTTGTGATATGGAACCTTGTGGTACAATGTCAGAGAGATCCATACACTAACACACAAGTTATGTCTGGAAGTTACAAAAATGCTTATTTTTGGCCCCTTTTTGGCCCCTAATTCCTTTACTGTTGGTACCATAACCCCCAAAATCAATCCCAACCTTCCTTTTGTGGTATTGAACCTTGTGGTAAAATTTCATAGAGATCCGTGCACTTACGGTAAACTAAAGTTAGGGTGCGAAAACCAATGTGTCTTCAGACGACGCCAACGTCATACCAATATACGACCACAAAAATTTTTTTGCGGTCGTATAAAAACTATTATCTGATCGGTTGTCAGGGAGAATTTTCGAAAGTTCAAAAACATTTAAAATCCTTCTAATTGAAAATTCGTGGAAGGGCAAACTAAAAATTTTCAGAGGTTAAAGACTAATAACCCTAGATATCAAACACAGAAAAATGAAGTTTTTTTAAGATGTGCAATTTTAAGATCCACTTGATTAAGTCTGTCTTCAAGCACTTTAAGTCAAATTTTTTTATTCAAACACACCTATTTTATTGTTTTGACTCATTAGAAAGGTATTTCACTGGACCTATATATTTCATTTTTTAGTACTGTAAATTTATAATGTTATTATATCAACCTTAAATATATAGAAATAATATAATCTGAAGCAAGATGATGTATCAAATAATTTTGCTTTATACGTTTTCATGACAAAATATTCAACTCAAGCATGCCTAAACATAAAACGGTGTACTCAACCTTTTCTTTTGCGATGAAACTATTGCCCATTTTGGGGATTTTTTTCCAAAACAACTCTCGCCGAGGGCATAGATGCAAATTAATGCTTTAAAAAGATCAATCAGTTACCTTTCTGTGGAATTTTTTTCAGGCGGAATTTATGCTTATGCACAAAAAAGATACACATGTATTTGAACCTACCACAATTGACTGTTTTGTGAAAATTTTTCTTTAATTAAAGAATTACAAATATTTCGAAACTCCATACTAATATTTAAGTAAAATCAGGTATATAAGATGCATAAAATCATAAATCATGCACCTTCATTAAACTTTTAAAGCCCATAGGAACAGATGTAAACAATTCAAATATACCAACTTGGCCTTTTTTACCTTCTCTAATAGAATGAATAGAGTTCCACTTCTTTTGTTTAAGATCAACTGGGTATCCGCTTGTTTATGAATGATCTAAAACCCTTATATGGGATTCTGAGTTTGAGGGATTTTCTGATTCAGATGCCTAAAAAGGCAGAAGACCTCCAAATTAGAAAATCGATACGGACACAGAACCCTGAAAGGGATTTAAATGAGTTATGATGGTTGACCAGAGGTCAATCAAACTTAATAACGACATTGGGGAATCTACTTTTACTGTAACATAATAACATAAACATTGCAACATTGGAATTCTTACGGGAAAAATTATCGCTTTCAACATCTGGTTGGAAAAATTCCAAACAAAATCGCCTGTATTATTCAGTGGTTGTCGTTTGTTGCTGTGTAACATATTTGTTTTTCGTTCATTATTTTGTACATAAATTAGGCCGTAGTTTTCTCATTTGAATTACATTTGTCATTTTGTCAACGTATATTTGTTCCGCCTAACAGAAGTTCCACTGGAAACTTTGTTATAAACAATGGCATAATATCTGTTCCTGTTGGAACAAATATTCTATACCATTTATTCCGTTGGGAACATTTACTGTAATATTTATTCCAGTGGACAATTTCAGGGCCTTTTATAGCTGACTATGCGGTATGGGCTTTGCTCATTGCTGAAGGCCGTACAGTGACCTATAGTTGTTAATTTCTGTCATTAGGTCTCTTGTGGAGAGTTGTCTCATTCGAGTCATTGGCAATCATACCACATAATGGCACATATCTTCGTATTTTGATATTTGAAATATTTAATTGGGGATTTCATATGAAAGATACAGGAAAAAAGGTATGTGACGAATATTTATTTCAATCAGCTGCATGTTTCGAACGACCTATGCTAACATGGTCCCTGCCTTTCCCAAAATCACTGCAGAGTGACTTCATTCATCCAAAGTCATATATATATATATATATATATATCATGGGGCCTATGTTTTAGACTGTATTTTAAACCAGTGTTGAAAACAGAGGTTTACAGCTTTTGTAACAGTTAAAGGAACATGCAGTTAGCTTTGTATAAAATATTACGCCAATATATAATGTCTGGTAGCGTTTGTAGCGCTGTATACCCAGTTCTTAGGTTTCGTCTGCTAACAATTTCAGCAGACGCACGTGGGAATGTTTACGATATGGATGTCGTAAAAAATGTTTTTTAATTTTTTCTTAATATATTTGATATTTAATCGGAAAGATTTACATGAAATAGTCAGGCAGTCTCGAAACAGACAGATACATGTTAAAATGAAAACAAGACAATTGAAAACTTGAAATAAACAACAAATAAATTTAGTAGTAAAAGGGAAATAACCAACTATTTTAACGCAATGTCCATATTTGGAGCGGCCTTGGCTGACCCGGAAATAAAGCAAAACGCGGAAGAACCAGGAACTGGATACCACAAATTTATTAATGCACATCGATAAACCGTTATTCTCAATATATTAGATGTTACGAAAGGTAAAAGTATATGCTTGCAACAAAAGATTTCACTGACACATTAATTTTATGCTCATTATTTTGTTGGTCGAATTGTCATTTCTCGACTCCAAATCTTAAATTTTTGCTTTCACTTCATAATTCTTCCTTTACGGCTTTAGAAAAACCGAGTCACAAGACACACCAAACAATGCATTAGTAAAAATTCAACTTAAACTGATACAAACTTTGATTTATTACAGGCAAGTCTCTATTGTCGGTATTGACATTTTACATGTTTTCTTTTACTGATTTGTAGCTTTTGTTTTACATGGTTTTACATGATGGAATCTGAAAGCTTGCTAACTGGCTTTTAGCAAGTTGATGTTGCATATTTGTTTTACTTGTCAAGTGCGTACCTTCAGCTTCAATTCAATTAGTATGAGACTAGTGTTACCTATAAAAGAGGACGATATTCAGTAACATTTTCATGGTACATTTTGGTAATCCTATATATACAAGTTTGCGGGCAATCATATGCTTTACAGCATGGAAGCCTCCGTCAACAATGTCAATGAACAAGTACAACTGTTGTACAAAAACTTAACCATTTTGATTCATTAGTATATTGATTTTTATATTGATCTTTCTTTTTATTGATTTTGTTACTATATTATTTTTAAATGACTTTCACATTCTTTCTTTTTTTCCATACATTTACTATGTCACAATGCTTATGTTATTACGTCAAAGAAAGTCTATTGCTATATACTTCACTTACACTGATTTAACTTAGTTCAATCAGTGTATCTAATTCATAAAAAGGAACTTGAAATTGGTCTATACATTAGTTAAAATAGCCGTGCATGAGCAACAGGATGGATGTCACATGTAGAGGAGGCTGCTTTTCCCTTCGGGTGGTGTTTCTGTTGCTCAGTCTTCAGTTTTCTTTGTTGTGCTTTGTGTACTGTTGTTTGTCTTATGGTTGTTTTTTGTTTTTTTCTAAGGTATAGACAAGTTTATCTATAACTAGCAAAGAAAACATGGGCGCATCCATTATTTTAACCTCTCATGTGACCGATCCGCCATTACGCTCGTGAAAAATAACAGACTTGTATAATCAAAACATTATCAATTTTTTGTTTACATTTGCATTTCTTTCATTTTCTGATTTATTTTGTTATGGATAGTGTCAGTAGTTATATAAAAAAGTTGGGGACAATTCTTGTTTAGTTTAATTGTTGTACGAATAATCATAGAAAACTTCAGATGTGAAAAAAATCAATGCATGAATTACATAAAGAGTTCCACATTGACTGTCCTTGTTTGATTCCATATAAGTTTCATTAGGTGCCTTCTGGCAATCCAACAAAACTTGAATGGAACCAAAGCTATAAAAAGAAAAAATTTGCATAAACATGTTTTTGTATGTTCGGAACATTTTTTATGGATGGTGAGTTGACTGCACAAAATCTGTTTTCTAAGTAAAACTTGTTACAGTGATCGGGAAGGACGTGCGCCTTGCACCAATTGCGCTTATCGACCAGAAATGGCGCATAGAGTGACAAATGTAAGCGCCCGCGTGGCGCATGATATTTTTCACTTCGTTTTGAAACGTTGAGATATCGTCAAATGGATTTCCGATCGTATTTCGTGCCGCCATGTGTGAGTACACAGCTGTGTAGCCTCGGATCCTGGCCAACTGCTTGACAGACCTATCGACGAAGTATTAGATTGGGTCAGGATGCCAGGCTAACAGCTGTGAAGTGTTTACCCCAATGAGAGGAGCACCTATATATTTTTGGGACGTCTCAGGTGTTTTCCTATGGTAATAATAGCAAAATGCAGTATGATTGATTACCCAAAAAACGTAATTAACCATCATTCATGATATAATTTTTTATAAACAATTTAAAATTTGTGAAAATTGGCTAGTACAGGCAAGAATTCTTCTCTAATTATAATCTTTAGTAAGCTTGCTATTATTTTGATTGAAAAATCCAAAAACCTTTTTATGAATAGCATAGTATTTGTCTCCATAAAAGGGGCTTAACTGTCCTTGTCAATTTTTTTGGTCTTTGGCTCGTTTTGACATTTTGTAAACATGCCTTCAGCGAATTGTTGTTGTGTCTTATCAATTAACGTTGCTCTCTACTGTTATTCTTGTCATCGTGATGAAGTAATAATAATACAAGTGCAGAGGAAATGCCAGAAACATCCTCTAATTCGGAACGTCTGGAATAAGTATGGTATCGACGAAGACCCAAATTTAATGTAAAAAAAACATGAACATGAACAAGGGAACAGTACCAGTTTTAACATTGTAAATAAAGGTTATCGTAAATATTGCCCGGTTTGGAAGAAGTTATTGTATATTCATTGAAATTGAAATTACAAAATCACAGGAACAATATCCATGATATTAATTAGAATCATACTTGTCAGTACAGTGAAATATACACTTTTTTTTATCGTAAACGAATGGCCCACTCATTTGACAACATGGCCCATTAATTCTAAAAATGGCCCATTGAATTTATTTTTGGGGGGCCCTGGGCCCATAGAGAAAAAATCCTTCCAGATCACTGTTGTTATGAAAGTAAAATTACACCTGGCAGACGAATATTGACACGTCGTGAAAAGACTATGAAAAAACATAAATCTATGTAAATAAATCCGATTACAATATTGTATCTACCTCTTTTTGTCTAGGAGCTGTACACATTTCTTTGGATAATGAAAATTAAACCTATCCCGAAGCTACATGTAGATTTAATGTAGCTTGTCCTGTAATTGTGAGCAAATCAACCCAGTACGAAGAGATGAACTTTTTTATTCATGACAACTAACTTTATGCTGCAAACTCGGACAAACGTCTTGTTACCAGATGAGAAAAGAGTTCAAAATTAATAAAAGGGGGGACAACGTCAGCGGATAAACATATTATAATTGACAGTGAGGCCTTATTGTATACGTATGTACAGGGTCCGACACTTACGGTTGTCCGATTGCCCGGGGCAAGTTAATGCCGTATTCGGGCAAGTAAAAACATCATCTTGCTTGTTTGATCAGGCAAGTGAAAAAAAAAGTGTTATATGATTAAAATTTCACAAAATCAATAGTGTCTGTTGTTTTGTCCATAGATTACTCAGTGATAACACAGCACGTTCGAGTGAAGTGGTCTTAACCCCCCTTCAATGCGTATATTTCGTCATTTGTTCGCACTCATTTCCCAATTTAACCAAGAATAGATCACGTTTAAAAATATTGGCCAATCAGGCGGCCGCAGCATTGTTTCCTCATTATCGTTATCAATCGGGACACCACTCAGGCGTTTCCGACGCACGTGTTATTCCCACCGACCAATGGAAAGCGGAGGTCTATTTTCGTTGTTCTAACTTTAGAATTTGACATCGGATGTGTATTTCCCTAAGATGGAAAAACGTAAAAGCTTGAAAGAGAAAATGAAATTAAACTTTACCAAATTTGTCTGTTGTTGTCAGTTTATCAAGAAGGGTTTTTTGAAATGGCATTTCTTAGATAAGTTATTATGAAATAAGTATCTCTATTTAAATGATCCAATTCCCGTATATTTTTTCGATCTTTTCTCAATTCATTAATATTCATACTTCATAATCAATTTACACCCCATATACATGATAACTATATTTTATCTGCATGTACTATATTACAACCACAAAAATAGCATGTAAAAGTTTGGGCATGTTTATTTCACTTTCGGACAAGTAAAAGTAATAGGGTACTTGCCCAACTGGACAAGTTGGTATAAAAGTTAATGTCGAACCCTGATGTAACTAAGGAAGTTTTCTTTACTTTAAAGGAATTAATACACGAATTTAATATTCAACTCGATATTGCAGATCAGCTATTGCTCGTACTGATGAGGTTAACACTTAGTTTGATATTTGGTTGTTTTGGACGGCTTCATATTTCGATAAGCTTGTAAATTATTTTATTCTTGGATGCCAGTTCTTGCTGAAAACCTTTAAGGTTTTACAAACAGCTGTAGCCATTATTCAAATCCCATCAGACGGTGTTTAAATGCCAATTATTTTTTTTAAAAACGGGTTCAATATGTTAAACTATGCATACTAGTAGTTTTGTGTTTTACAGGGCGTTCGAGCTAGCTTTCTGCAAAAGAAATTGGAGTAAGAATGATTACATGAAAAAGTTCAAAACTTCTTAACTTGAGCCCATTTTAATGTAAGTTAAGTCTTCATATGGCACGATGCATCAATAGCATAGCACAACAAAAATAAGACAGAACAAGTCACTCAATTATGAGCTGTATACGTGCATCGAACTACAAGCTTAAAAATCTCTGTCTCTGTGAAAAAATATATTCAAATGTTACATGTCTACTGGTACAGTATATGTATTTCAGAGACAAGAAACTTTGTGTGGGACGAAACGGGCTGTCAGATTATTGGGAAGTCGGACTTGAGGAATTTCGATTTTTAAGACTGTCTGACTATAGGTCTGACCACAGAAATTGCTATGATTTGATAAAATTGCACCTGGTTCTGATATCACATTAGACCCGACACGACCGTAAATCCTCATCAGGTACCCCAGTCCAATTTTCTTTTATTTACTATATTAATCAATTATGATTACCAAGTAATTGTAATTGATATGTAACCTGGGATTAGTATACTTTAGTCGATAAATTATGTTCCGGGTGTAACGTATCAGTTTCATTTTTAGGGCACGACACCTGGCCTGCAATACACTTGTAATTTTAATGTCCATTCCTTATCTAAATTCTTTATTGTTTAAAGCATTTATAATTTTGCCGAGGTCAAGTAGGCCTTCGCATTCTTGTGTTTACGTTAAGCAATTATAAGTGGTCTAAGAAATAGAAGTGTAGCTTGTTTATAATTTTTTCACGACTGTAATGGTGACCGCTACTACAACGACACCAAGTAGTAGCATCACAAACCAAAGCAGATAATCGGAAAAACCTGTCTATTGTCGGTTTGTTTTTTTACTTTTGAGTTTGAATATCCCTTTGGTATCGTTCACCTCTCTCAGGGCACACACTTCTTTAGTTCCATAGGGAGAAGTTACTTCTCTGTATGAAACTGATTGGGATAAGTTTTGAGACCTAAACGAGAAGTGCTTGTTTGCTCACAGTGCTACAATGTTTTGTTTTTATGCCCCTGCCGTAGCGGAGGGGGCATTAAGTTTTACCCTTGTCTGTCTGTACGTAAATATGTCCGTCCATACGTACGTCCCAAAGTTGGTTTCCGTTCTCTAACTTTTAGTTTGCTTCAGCCAAATGTTATGAAACTTATACAAAATGCTTATTACCACAAAACACAGATCAAGTTTGAATTTTGGTCGCGTCACTTAAATGGTTCTAGAGTTATGCCCCTTTAAAATGGAAAAATTGCTAAATATTTAGTTTCCGTTCTCTAACTTAAGTTTGCCTCAACCAAATGTTATGAAACTTAAACACAATGCTTATAACCACAAAACACAGATCAAGTTTGAATTTTGGTGGCGTCACTTTAACCATTCTAGTGTTATGCCCCTTTATAAATGAAAAAATTGCAAAATTTTTAGTTTCCGTTCTCTAACTTAAGTTTGCCTCAATCAAATGTTATGAAACTTATACACAATGCTTATTACCACTAAATACAGATCAGGTTTGAATTTTGGTCGCGTCACTTAAATGGTTCTAGAGTTATGTGGGGCTGTTGAAGTCAAAAGGTCAGGTCAAAAAGATCCCCCACCGTAGTGATGGGGGCATTAAGTTTTACCCTTGTCCGTCTGTATGTACGTACCTACGTCCCAAAGTTGGTTTCCGTTCTCTAACTTTAGTTTGCTTCAACCAAATGTTATGAAACTTACATGCTTATACACAATGCTTATTACCACAAAACACAGATCAAGTTTGAATTTTGGTGGCGTCACTGAAACGGTTATAGAGTTATGCCCTTTTATAATGGAAAAATTGCTGAATTTTTAGTGTCCGTTCTCTAACTTAAGTTTGCCTCAACCAAATGTTATGAAACTTAAACACAATGCTTATAACCACAAAACACAGATCAAGTTTGAATATTGGTCATGTCACTTAAATGGTTCTAGAGTTATGTGGGGCTGTTGAAATCAAAAGGTCAGGTCAAAAAGATCCCCCGCCGTAGTGATGGGGGCATTAAGTTTTACCCTTGTCAGTCTGTACGTACGTACCTACGTCCCAAAATCAGTTTCCGTTCTCTAACTTGAGTTTGCTCCAACCAAATGTTATGAAACTTATACACAATGCTTATTACCACAAAACACAGATCAAGTTTGAATTTTGGTGGCGTCACTCAAACCGTTTAGAGTAATGCCCCTTTAAAAATGGAAAAATTGCAAAATTTTTAGTTTCTGTTCTCTAACTTAAGTTTGCCTCAACCAAATGTTATGAGACTTACATACAATGCTTATTACCACAAAACTCAGATCAAGTTCAAATTTGGGTAGCGTCACTTTTACCGTTCTTCAGTTATGTCCCTTTATATATATATGATATGCAACCGGGGGCATCATCTGTGTCCACATGTGGACACAATCCACATTTATTACAATAATATAAAGGGCCATATCCTATTTTTTAATTCTGATTTATGTTATTCAAATCATACCTGAGAATACAATTCAAGTAACGGTTGTTTCAGTTTATGTCTTAAATTATCATTTATAGTTACACAGTTTTATTTTTTTCCTCTTGTCAGAAACTACCAACTAAATATCTAGCACTAAAAAGAACTTCTTTTTATATCGAAAAAGTAAAGAAAGTATCATATATTAATTGAAATTCAATCAAAAACCTATTCTATTTATCATGTTAATGAAATTCATACTTTTTTCATCAAAAAGATATAAAAATTTAACAAATTTAAGCATCTTGAATCAATAGATGAAACAATGCATTTACATGGAAATAAATACATTTAGCTGGAAATATATACATTTAGCCAGGAGATCTAACCAAAAGTCAGTTAATCTGTGTGGAATGCATAATTTTCATTATTGGGATCATTATTCTTCTGCCATTCGTGTGTCTGTAGTTATTATCCTGAGAATACGGGTTTAGGTCATAGTTAGTTCGCATCTGATCCATGGTTGATATAAATATTTCAATGGCAGACGAAAAAAAAAATTACAAAAATTAACCATGTTTGACAAGCGATTTGGAAAAGAATATGACGTTTTTAATGCAATAAATGAATGAAACAATTTTCATCACATTCTTATAAAGTCACAAACTTATTTTGCCGAAAAACAGAACGTTTTGATGTTCGCTCTCGAGAAACAAGTACTGAAGTGAAAGAAAATACTTTATAAACATGATAAAAAGTTGTTTCTTTAAAGTTAATGTTTTCACCTCTTTTCTAAAGAAATAAATCATTTATATATTTGTGTGTTTCCTGTTGCATTACCCTAAAAAATTAAGTCGGTAGGTGGGGATTTAAAAAAATATATTTTTATTTTATTAATCTCATCATCATGATCATGAAGTTCTTTGAACTGTTTTTAATTTTGAAACTTGCATGAATATTTGTGTATCAGGATTATGGTTGCATTTCAGCACCATAACTGCAAGTACATCAGTTATAGCAGACTATTTTTTTATTATCATTTACAGTCGCAAAAAGTGCTGATTAGTCCCAGATGATTTTGGGATACGCTAAAGGAACACCTTTTTTTTTCTGCCACATGGAATAATTACAGATTTTTATAAATTTATTTTTTTTTGAAATATTTTTAGGGTAGGAGCCTATAAATTAGGGTCGGTTGGGCAACTGGTGACACAATTATTTTTTTTGTGTGGCCTAATGATCAATATATTGCTTGTTTGATAATTACACTATTAAGAGCCCTAAGTCTATTTTAATCTAAAATCTAAATGTCTGGTGTATGCAGCAGGAAGACTTGACCAGGATCCCAGGTTAATGATCTATAGTTGCCACTTATCACATAACATTAAACAATAAAGACATACACGTTTTGATGGTCCACATATCCCCAAAACATTAAAAACCTTAAGAGTTATTTCCTGAGCTAGTGCATTTGGGTTTGATATTAACACAGCAGAAACTCTATCGCTTTGTAGTATGCAAAATTTGTTATTTTGTCTGCTACCTTAAGAACTTATCCCAAATCTTAATCAGAGACACTTATGTATAAGATACAGCTATGGGGATCAAATTTACAGATCTGATTCAGAAATTCAATTTATTTTTATCTATCTAATTTACATTGAGCAATCTCTGCATAATCAGACATTATACCTGGACCTAAAAAATATACTTCTTAATAAGTTTCACAATTTCTTCATAAATTTTTGGAACCTGGACATGCATTAACCCCTTCACCCCAAATGCCGCCTGTAGTCGTTATGACGACCACCATTTTTTGATGGCCCGTATGACCCTCCATACATTTTTAGAACTGCCCCAGCTGAACTGTATTGACAGCAGGGACTTCAACCATGCAATTCATGGTCCATAAACTCTTCTCAGATGTGTGATTATGAAAATATGGCAATTTAATGGCCTTTTTAGAGTTCAAAATCGGAAAAGCATGAAAAGTAGCCAAAATCAGGTAGGGGTGGGAGTCTTTTGATGACCACTACGTTATTGGTATGGGCTGTAGGTATTAACTATTATCATAAATACATGCATATGTGGTACAGGAACACAAGGAGGTATACTATGGCCAAAAGAAATCAGGTCTGTAAAATCTAGGTCACTGTTTTGTCAGAAATCTGTAAAAACAGACATTTAGGCAGACCTGGCTTGCCAATAATAATTCCCCAGCAAGACACTCAAGTCACATTTACTTCCAGTCAATATGGATGGACTGCTGTAACTATCAGGTAATACTTGAATGACTAAGAAACACAGTTTGGTCAGTGTTCACCTCTCAAGGTTGTATATTCATGATATTAAAATCGAAAAATAGACTGAAAATGACAATTTTTCAGTAGGGGTGGGTTCAAACCCACCAGAAAGTATACCACCTCCCAACCCATCCCCCACCCATGCCATCTGCCCCCAAATCTCAATACATAGTTTAATAGATCAGCATCAGCTACAGCATCAAGAGTCTACTAATTTGCATTATCATCGACCCCAAGAGATTTCTTGAAAATCAGACATTTTCGGAAATTTGCAATCATATGCAAATTATATGCAAGTTAGTAGACAGACATATCTCTGTGTGAACAGTTTATTGAATATGTGACAATATTTTGTCATGTGACTAAAAAATAAATTTGTAAAAACAGATTTTTATTGCATATTTTTTAGATTTGAGGACCAGATATTTTTTGGAATGGGGAATCTCCTGAAGATTCTTATGAAAGATGAAACCTCAAAAGACAGTCGTGATGTATTTGTTGATTTTGAAAGTAAGTATTGGCTTTAATATATATATAACAGGGGCTAAATAACATTAAACAAATATAGGTGACTATGTTGAATGCAAGCTTGAATTGCATGAACCAAAAATTCGTAAGGGTTCCGCGGAACCCAGTGTCTCGCCTACTTTTGCTGCTAGTCACAGGCTCAACAAAAATGGGGAAAAAATTATTAAAAATTTTCTTATAGATACTATCATTTGATTGTAAGAAGCTTCTGTCCAAGTTTGGTAAAAATCCAGAATGGTTTATGAATCTAATAAATGTTTTAAAAACTTTAACTACAGACTGTATGTAATGTTAACAGGAAGAAAAACTAAGTCCATTTATAAGTAATATACGGGAAAACAGGAAATATATTTTTTTCAAAATTTACTTCTAGATACTAGCTTTTGATCATAAACAAGCTACTGTCCAAGTTTGGTAGAAATCCAGGATAGTTTAAGAAAGTTATTAAAATTTTATAAACTTTAACCACAGAGTGAATGTAATGTTAACTGGCAGAAAAACTAAGTCCATTTATAAGTAAAAAACAGAAAAACAGGATTATTTTTTTTACAAAATTTACTTCTGGATACTATCTTATGATCATAAACAAGCTTCTTTCCAAGTTTGGTAGAAATCCAGGATAGTTTAAGATAGTTATTAAAATTTCAAAAGCTTTAATCACAGAGTGAATATTTGTGGACGCTGCCTACGACGGAATGTAGTATCGCTATGTCTGGCTTTTGCGACAAAAGTCAAAGGCTCGACAAAAATGATATAAATACCAATAGTTTTTTTGCATGATATCTCAAATTTCTGTGACAATTCTCTCAATACATACAATAATAAGGGGAACATTTTCATGTGTATTGCATATATACTAAACAATGACTACTACTGGCTGTCAGGTTGACATTAGAGGTCTTTATACTTATGTGGGTAAAGTATTAAGTCTCTTGATTTGAAAGTGAACAGATACATGTAAACTTACTTTAAGATTGATTTTTCTAGCAAGCAACACCAACAGAAATGTCCATATTGATCTCTGGCATTGTTCAAAATACAACTGACATTGCAATTTTAATTGTGACATAAAGCACGTGCAGCCCATGTACTACTGAAATTAGAACATTGCTTTGTTTACAAAGTGAAATAAGAGTGTCATGTATTTTTATATACAGTTTGATGGGTTTTAAAGAATTTATGATGTGTAAACAAGTCTCTCTCGGGCACTTCTGCTTCCCCCACCGATAAAAACTGACCACCACGATATAGTGCCAATAGTGCTGAAAGTGACGGAAACACCAACAATCAATCAATCAATCAATCAATCAATTCGTCAATGACCTGTTTCACTAATTAAAGCAAATTTGATTAAGGTCAGGAATCTGAGCAGTTTTATCATCCGGTTATTTTTCATTAGTGGCTGATGACATCTCTACATTTATACATCCTACATAGTCAAAACTATGCCTTAGACAGTCTCTAACCCAGTGTCTTACTTGAGAAAATAATGAATCAAGATAGCCATATTTTGATTTGACTGCTACCAAGAAAGTTTCATCTTTATGACTAACAGGTTTAATGAAGTGGTTTTCCTTAATCTTATTTTCAGATGCACAACCCACAGAGGCTGAACGAACAGTTTATGATAAAGTAAAAATTGTTCTTGAAAAAAGTCAGACTATTCTTAAAGATATACAACAATACACAGGAGCAACAGAAGCAATAAGACAGGTTAGAATTACACTTTATGTTGACAGATATAACAAGACAAGTTTTACCCAAATGAAATGTGTTGAAAATAGATGTATCATATTCTTTTGGTTAATTCTGGTTGGCTCGGATGTATCTTGGTAGGGTAACACATCTTGATGTGGACTGTTACCTTGTGAAGTAGCACCCCCACTTTGTATTGTCTAGGTTGTTTCTTCAAAAGAAATACCTATCATTCTGAATGGAAATAACTCCATACAGGTATATAATGTGATATAAATTTAATCATGAGCAACATAATGTGATTCTTTGATGTCAATAAAATGGTTTGTTAATAAGGGCTATAAATCATGACAATAAAACTTTTGTAACAGATTTTACCACTATATCCAATGGAAGTGGTCATTTAGACTACCAATGCATATGACAAAATACATCTTAATACCACTATCTGCCATGGTAACATATTCTTAACAAGAAACTGCCACCACAAAATCATCATAGCTTGCCAACATGACAAGTAGAAGTTGCTATAATGTGGAAGGCAAAGTTAAGAATACTTAGTTTGGCAATATTTCAGTTTTTATGAAATTTTGTATGTATTTAGAACTCCTTGAGCTTATCCCACATTTATACTTCAAGAGGTACAATTAATTAAAAAAATTTGAAACATATCTATGAATGTATTGAATGTATGTAAAAAAACAGCAAAAATGCATATGTTTATTCCATCAGAGTTGATAATAATGTAAAGTACTTTGAGAATGTGAACGATATAGTACAAAATATTTTTCCCCCTGTTTATAGTACTTCTTTTTAGCTCACCTGGCCCAAAGGGCCAAGTGAGCTTTTCTCATCACTTGGCGTCCTTCGTCTGTCGTCGTCCGTCGTCCGTTAACTTTTACAAAATTCTTCTCCTCTGAAACTACTGGGCCAAACTTAACCAAACTTTGCCACAATCATCATTGGGGTATCTAGTTTAAAAAATGTGTCCGACGACCCGGCCTGCCAACCAAGATGGCCGCCATGGCTAAAAATAGAAAATAGGGGTAAAATGTAGATTTTGGCTTATATCTCTGAAACTAAAGCATTTAGAGCAAATCTGACATGGGTAAAATTGTTCATCAGGTCAAGATCTATCTGCCCTGAAATTTGCAGACAAATCAGACCACCCATTGTAAGGTTGCTGCCCCTGAGTTGGTAATTTTAAGAAAATTCTGCAGTTTTTGGTGATTATCTTCAATATTATTATAGGTATAGATAAACTGTAAACAGCAATATTGTACAGCAAAGTAAGATCTACAAATAAGTCAACATAACCAAAATGGTCAATTTACCCCTTAAGGAGTTTTTGCCCTTATAGTCAATTTTTAACAATTTTTCATAATTTTTGTAATTTTTTACAAAAATCTTCTCTGAAACTACTGGGCCCAATAGAATCAAACGTGGCCACAATCATCATTAGGGTATTTAGTTTTAAAAATGTGTCTGATGACCCTGCCCGCCGACCAAAATGGCTGACATGGCTAAAAATAGAACATAGGGGTAAAATGCAGTTTATGGCTTATATCTATGAAACTAAAGCATTTAGAGCAAATCTGACAACTGGCAAAAATGTTCATCAAGTGAAGTTCTATCTGTTCTGATATTTTCAGACGAATCAGACAACCCATTGTTGGGTTGCAGCCCCTGAATTAGTTATTTTATAGGAAATTTTGCAGTTTTTATACGGCCGCAAAAAAAAATTTTGTGGTCGTATATTGGTATGACGTTTGCGTCATCGTCGTTGTTGTCGTCATGTGTCGTCGTCCTCGTCGTCGTCTGAAGACACATTGGTTTTCACACTTTTACTTTAGTTTAAGTGAATGGATCTCTATGAAATTTTACCACAAGGTTCAATACCACAAAAGGAAGGTTGGGATTGATTTTGGGGGTTATGGTACCAACAGTTAAGGAATTAGAGGCCAAAAAGGGGCCAAAAAATAAGCATTTTTGTAACTTCCAGACATAATTTGTGTGTTAGTGTATGGATCTCTCTGACATTGTACCACAAGGTTCCATATCACAAAAGGAAAGCTTGGATTGATTTTGAGGGTAATTGCCTCAAAATTTTAGGAATTAGGGTCCAAAAAAGGGGCAAAAAACAAGCACTTTTCTAGTTTCATGACAATAACTTGTGTGTAAGTGCATGGATCTTTCTGAAATTGTTCTACAAGGTTCCATATCACAAAGGGAAAGCTGGAATTGAGTTTGGGGAAAATTGCCCAAAATGTTTGGGAATAAGGGGCCAAAAGGGGGCCAAAAATAAGAATTTTTCTAGTTTCCAGACAATAACTTGTGTTCAAGTGTATGGATCTCTCTGAAATTGTACTGCAAGGTACCATACCACTAAAGGAAAGGCTAGGATTGATTTTGGTGGTAATTGCCTCAAAATTTTAGGAATTAGGGGCCAAAAAGGGGCAAAAAAACAAGCATTTTTCTAGTTTCAGGACAATAACTTGTGTGTTGGTGTATGGATCTTTCTGAAATTGTACTACAAGGTTCAATATCACAAAGGGAAAGCTGGAATTGAGTTTGGGGGTAATTGCCCAAAACTTTTAGGAATAAGGGGCCAAAAGGGGGCCAAAAATAAGCATTTTTCCAGTTTCCAGACAATAACTTGTGTTCAAGTGTATGGATCTCTCTGAAATTGTACTGCAAGGTTCCATACCACAAAGGGAATGCTGGGATTGATTTTTGGGGTAATTGCCTCAAAATTTTAGGAATTAGGGGCAAAAAAGGGGCAAAAAAACAAGCATTTTTCTTGTTTCAGGACAATAACTTGTGTGTAAGTGTATGGATCTTTATGAAATTATACAACAAGGTTCCATATCACAAAGAGAAAGCTGGGTTTGAGTTTGGGGGTAATTGCCCTAAATGTTTAGGAATTCGTATCAAGCTGCGCCCAGCGGAGCATTTTATTGGAAATTATCTTGAATATTATTATAGATAGAGATAAACTGTAAACAGCAATAATGTACAGCAAAGTAAGATCTACAAATAAGTTAACATGACCAAAATTGTCAATTGACCCCTTAAGTAGTTATTGCCCTTTATAGTCAATTTTTTACAATTTTTCGTAAATTTTTGTAATCTTTTACAAAAATCTTCTCCTCTGAAACTACTAGGCCAAATAGAATCAAACTTAGCCACAATCATCATTAGGGTATTCAGTTTAAAAAATGTGTCTGATGACCCTGCCTGCTAACAAAGATGGCTGACATGGCAAAAAATAGAACATATGGGGTAAAATGCAAGTTTGTCTATTATTCTGATAACCGTTATAAAAAGAGGAAATCTGAAAAGTGTAAAATTGTTCATAATGTTAAGCTCTACCAATTATCCATATACGTCAAAACTGTAAGACAATTTCCTATAGGAGTTATTGCCCTTAAATGACAAATTTTACCATTTTTTTTTTTCGATTTTTGCCTTTATCATATCTTGAAAACTATAAAAGATAGAGAGAAACTTTAAATAGCAAAAATGATCAGAAGGACAAGTTGTACAAATAAGTCTTATGGTTGAAATCATCAGTTGACTCCTTATTAGAGTTATTTCACTTTGATGCCGATTTGTACATTTTTTTTTGCGTTTTTGTCTTATATCTTAAAACTTATAATAGATAGAAAGAAACTTAAATATACAAAAATGATCAGCAAGACAAGATCTACAATTTAGACAAATGGCAGAAATTGTCCAACGACTCCTTATTGGAGTTATTGCCCTTGAATTATGATTTTTACCCTTTTTTTGCGTTTTTCCTTGTATGATATTAATTATAATAGATATATAGAAACTTAAATAATCAAAAATGATAAGCAAGACGAGATCTACTAACAAGTCAAATTTTGCTGATATAATAAGTAGACTGTTACTCTCTATAGGAGTTTTTTTACCCTCTTTTGTGTTTAGAGCAAAAGCTAAATAAGATCATGAAGATAGAGAGAAACTAAACAGACTTCAATGATCAGCAATATAAGATACAAAAAAAAACAACAGAGTTTTTTGTCATTAATTCTATTCTCGTCTACAATGTTGGAGAGTGTCCCCCTGTTGAATATGCATATAGACCAAGGTGAGCGACACAGGCTCTTGAGAGCCTCTAGTTTATTTATAAATTTCCTTTTCTACTACTGAAGGAATATGTTAGTGGTTTATACCTTCATTTATTGTGATACATTTAGATTGCATACATGATTTAACCCATATATTCATTTATTCAAATTTTCTACAATACTGAGAATTTATTTACTTGTAGGCTATATCTAATCCAAAATCAGATGAATTACAAGACAAGGCTTGGCAAGCAGTATGTCCACTTGTTGGAAAATTGAAAAATTATTATGAATTTTCCAATGAAGTAGGTTAGTAGTTTGTATTTGTATGTCTAACATGTCCAATGGTTGGAAAACTAGAAAATTGTGGTATGATTAATGAAAGGCCTATTTATATCAAAGTTCTGTGAAATTCCTTGGTTTTAAATGTATTGAAATTCCATTTTTATATTGTTTGCAACCAAGGTTGCAAAGCAAGACAAACTTCTTGTCTTAATTTCAGTTTTCAGGTGGATTGTAGTTGTTTTCAGTTTACATGTATTTATAACAGACCTTGATATTTGATATAAATTAACATACCAATCCATACATCTTAGCTGTATGTAAATAAAACAAGGCTAAAGAGAAAAAAATGTATATTTTGTCATTTGCATAGGCCATCATGCTTTTTATGCATTCATGGTAAATGAAAAGAGTGTATATTGGGTCAATTGTACAGGGAAATGTCCAACTATCATAAAAAGTATGTCAAGAAACATATCATTAAATCTTTTTCATCGAAAAAGAAATTTTGTACCGAGAATTATGATTTAACAACTATAATTTTAAAGTGGAAAAAGGAGGTATTTGAGTACCTAAGTGCCTATACTTCATGGTCATTATTTCATGTTGGATATGTATATAAAAATTGTCTTTTTGAAACATTATGTTGCCATTGACAGGCCTATTAACTGTATTATTATTGTAATTTGATATATGCGAAACTTATTATGAAAAATGATTTGATTACAGGTATATCAAATCTATGAAAACATTACAGGAATATTACACACTGAATGGCTATAAACAGGAAGTAATACCAGGAAAGATTTTTTGTGAACTGGAAATACATTTTAATTGAATATGAAATACAATTAAATTGACACTGTATTTATTTAATTGTACAGGGAAATGTCCAACTACCATACAACTTAATGTTACTTAATGTTTTTATGATTTTCAAACATACAGTAAAGGGGAGAGGGTATCAAGGGGTAACCTAAAATCATAAGTTGACTAAAAAGACAAACACAATAACCGGAAATAAACAAACCAACAATAGTCCACGAAAATTATACAAAAAACAGTACGATTGAACAAATATGAGTTCAACCAAAAACCAAGAGTAAACTCAGGTTGTCAGAATGAGTCATCAGTTTCTTTTCGTTTTGTATTAACATTGTGAGAATAAGAGGAAACGAAAGAAGATATTAATGGTGAATTTCATTTCAGATGGAATTGTACAAGAATTACTTCAAGTGTTGTGTTCCAATGATTTATCCCCTAGAGAACATTTAGAGCAGCAGCAAGCTTTGTTTAGACAGTTTGCAGACATATTAGATTTTGTACTCCGTTTTGATGATCTGAAGGTAAACTACACACAGTATCAACAGATGATGAAATCCCTATTGTTACTTTAAAGGAATTTTGGGGATATATGAATAAAAGGGGATGTTAAGTATTAGTGAATGGGACATCAACCCAACAGCAAAACATAACCAGAAAAGACTATGTAAAAGTCTCCAACACTAAACAGGTGACAATACCATATGTCAAACTCAAAAATGTAGACAAAGTGTGAATAAATTTAATTAATTTGCCATCAATTCCCATTTATTTAAGTTAAAGTTGGGTGATATTTTGGATTGAATTAGAATTTTGAATAAAAATGATATGTTATTGCTGTAAACATTTTTGCTTAAATGATACCACAAGATGAGGGAGTCAACAGGTTATTTTTTCAATAGAATGAATAAGTCTCAATATGTAGCATGAAAAAGACTTTTAAAAAAACGACAAAATGATACTTTTTCATGTTTTTTTCATTATCACTCACACTCAATACATAATATAGACAGCAAAAACGAATCTGGTGACCTCCACAAAATGTTAAAAAGGAAAGGTTTACAGCAATAAAATATCTGTTTCATACATCACTCATACCTTGATGATTTAAACAGCAAAATTGTTTTGTTCCCCTCATATTTTCATATCATTAAAAAGAAATGTTTACAGCAATAAAATATCTTTACTGTTTTAAACTATGTGTCTTTCAGTACGTCTGATTCATGAAATTTCCGTTGCATTTTTCTTAGAAACAACAAATCAAGGCTTTCTGATATCTGGTATCAACCCTGGTTTACCATGTGATGGGTTTTTGCATTCATTGCTCATCAAATTCTTAATAGCCAAAATACTTGCATGCATATATTCTTACATGCAATGGCCACGAATGAAATTATGGTCACTATTTTCTCAGGAACTACAAATCAGAGCTTCGTTAAATTTTGTTGTGTTTCATGTGAGCATGATATACTGTGTTCACATCCACCTTTCATCAAATTCCTGTTTATTGAATACTTAAAGCTTAGGTATTATTAGTGACCAATAGCTTGCAGCCTCACAGTAAATCTTGTTTTTTTACAAAGAGATGAGAATCAATAGACCAATTCCAAGATTCATAAAATTTTGCAGAAAAGTATGACAAATAGTGTAAAGGCTGTGTCATAACTAAGCAAAAGAAGCATCTTGCCCATTAATTTTGCATTCAAAATTTTATTTTATTTTTTATTAAATTAATTTGCTCAGAGTTCATTCTCCTCATCTCCATCAATAAAGCTTTTCCTTGGGGTAATTCTTTCACAGGTCATTCCCTTTTTTGATGAAAAGTTATTGGCAGCGCTGCAAATATCATGTGTATTTCATTTAGTTCTGAACATTCTTTTCAAAAGCTGTAATGATAATTTAGGGATTCATATGTGTAAAATTTTGTCATGTAAAAATGGAGTACAGATTTCATTTTTGCTCTTTTAATAATTAATATGACTTTTTCATATGAAAAAACATTTTTCTAGGTTTGTTTTCAGTAATATACTTGATTTCAAAGGAAACTAATATATTTATGTAATGAAAATGCACAACTGAATTTCCAAATATTATATAACATGCTAATATCAAAACTTGCTGTAACTAATGTATATGAGTCTTTTTGTTTTTGAAGTCAAATGTTTGAGGCAAAATTTGGTTAATTTCGAACTATATATATGTAGTCAGACATTTAAATATATACGTTGAAAGTACATGAAGTTTACCTATTTCAGATGACCAACCCCTCCATACAGAATGATTTTAGTTATTACAGAAGGACTTTAAGTAGAATGAAATTGGCAAATGAGGTATGTATACATTTTCATAATAAGATCTCAAATGCTTTTAACCTGATAAAAATTATTTCAGAAAACACATGTGGTGTGCCCTGAAATTAGAACGCTACATTTATAAAGTATTGGTAACCAGTTTGTGATGGTTTCCACAGAGCATTCCTTTTTGAAAATTCATTATACCATCTGTTGGTGTGTATAAAACGCACACATGCATAGTAGGCACCCCCCTTTTTCGACCTTATAACTTGAGAAAAAAAGTTTCTATGTTTAACACCCAGGGACTTTCTGGGAAAATCCCAACTTGAAACTCGGTAAAATGCTTCCATTGAAAAGTGAATTCTTTTTCGGAGACAAATTGAACTCCAGTCCTAGTTGATTACAGGATAATGAAAATATTGTTGCAGAATAAATAATTTAGCAAACGATGCTTGATTCTTTTTTGTTTCCGCAGATGTGTTTGAGAACAACAGGAAGTGTTAATCTGTATCTGTATCTGTATTTTCTGTCTTCTGCCAATCTGGCAACTATCCACCAGTATATTAAAACGGTCCTATACAGTAACTATTTACAGTTCTATCACCAATCCTTCACCAATAAGACAAATTGTCAAGGTTTATTTACACGAAGATGTTTTTATCTGCTATAAAATCTAAATGTCTACTAAGCAGAATGTCTATTATCTACTTTAAAAACTCAGAATCGCAGAGATTTTGAAATAGTTAAGATAATTTATATACTTTTTAAAAATAATTTATTTATAAGTATAAACTAAGGGAAACTAGACAGTACCAAGATGCGATCAGTCCATATAAAGGAATGTTATTTAACAGTTCTAGGCTTCTTTGTGATGTCTAGTAGTTGGTATCTTCTCGCATGTAGCTTATAGCACAAGCTTCTACATAATGGTTCTAACTTAGTATCAATGTCTGATATGAGAGCTTCGGACTTCAGTTGTGTGCAGTAAAAATTTGGGTTGACTATAATTGTTGCAATATCATATGTGGTGTCTAATTTATGTCCTGCACACAGCATAATACAAATGCTTATTATTTCTAACATTAGTGGTTTTCATATGCATATCAACAGGAAGTGATTCATAGTTTCTTCATTCTTTTTGCACATCAAGCAGGTACCATCTGGGAAGTTGTTTAAATACAAATCGCAGTTGGTGAATTTTGTACAGAATACGGAATCATTACAAATATTCTTAATTACACAATAAAAAGATAAATTGTAATATTTATGTTGATAAATTAGTGCTGAAATAAATATTAATCTGCTAATTTTATTTATTGTTTGTTGGTACTCATTGAATCGTTTAATCCGGATTATCACACTCTTATTGAATATCAATTAGGAAGTCTTATCGTTGTCAAAACAAATCAATTGACAGATTAATTTTGTTCCATAATCAAATTCGTACAGTTTACAAGATGGTTTTGACATGTCTGCAATTATGATTTGTATGAAGGTTTTTAAAAAAATGTTACAAAGTAAAAACGTGTTTAAAATCATCACTTTATTCACCTTTACAACCATTAAAAGTCACATGACATGTGATCACATTATACTACGAAAAGTAAAATAAAACACTGGCGGTCGCTAATTGTTTACTTTTTACACATTGTGACTTGGTTGGATAGTTGTCTCATTGGCACTCATACCACATCTTCTTATTTATATGTAATTCATAACAACAATCACTTTTATGCTACGAAAATATTTTCCTCTAGACCACCTGGTTTCTTGGTCGGAATTTGGCCCGAAAAAAAGTGTAAAGGACAGTGTAACCATACATAATATGCACCCTCCGTTTCAGATTCATTCCCAGAGTAAAAACCTGTGTACTATACACACCTAAAGACGGTAATCAACTCTTGTTTTGGAATTTCATATTACAGCTTTTTATCAGTAAGATGAAGAAGAAGAAACCAAAATAAGTAAAGACAACAAAAAGACTTGCTTTGTAGAATTTACATAAAATACAATATTTAATAAATTTACTGAATGAATAATGATTTTTTAGATAAATAAGATACTGTGCATGTATCCTAGTTTAATGAATGTAATGGGGAACATCAATGAGACAATTCAAAATCACTAGGCAATGAACAATTAACATGCATGATTATTAAAAGTATTTGTCAAAGTTTTTGTATATTAGAGCTGTATTTTATGTCTTTCAGGAGCACATAGTTGAAAATATAGTGTCAAACGAAATGGCAAATAGAATAGCTTTGTTTTATGCTAATTCTACACCTATGTTGAAAGTTCTAAGTGAAGCTACAACAAAATTTGTATCAACACATAAAGACTTACCAGTAGAAAATACAACAGATTGTTTGAGTACAATGGCAGATATATGTAAAGTCATGATCGAATCTCCGTAAGTACAATGGCAGATATATGTAAAGTTATGATCGAATCTCCGTAAGTACAATGGCAGATATATGTAAACTTATGATCGAATCTCCGTAAGTACAGTGGCAGATATATGTAAAGTAATGATTGAATCTCTGTAAGTACAATGGCAGATATATGTAAAGTCATGATAAAATCTCCCTAAGTACAATGGCAGATATATGTAAAGTCATGATAGACTCTCCGTAAGTACAATGGCAGATATATGTAAAGTCATGATAAAATCTCCCTAAGTACAATGGCAGATATATGTAAAGTCATTATTGAATCTCCCTAAGTACAACGGCAGATATATGTAAAGTTATGATTGAATCTCCCTAAGTGCAATTGCAGATATATGTAAAGTCATGATTGAATCTCCCTAAGTACAATGGCAGATATATGTAAAGTTATGATAAAATCTCCCTAAGTACAATGGCAGATATATGTAAAGTTATGATAGAATCTCCCTAAGTACAATGGCAGATATATGTAAAGTTATGATCAAATCTCCGTAAATACAATGGCAGATATATGTAAAGTAATGATCCAATCTCCGTAAGTACAATGGCAGATATATGTAAAGTTATGATTGAATCTCCGTAAGTACAATGGCAGATATATGTAAAGTTATGATTGATTCTCCGTTAGTACAATGGCAGATATATGTAAAGTCATGATCGAATCTCCCTAAGTGCAATTGCAGAATTTCCCAAAGTACAATGGCAGAATCTCCCGAAGTACAATGGCAGATATATGTAAAGTCATGATAAAATCTCCCTAAGTACAATGGCAGATATATGTAAAGTTATGATTGAATCTCCCAAAGTACAATGGCAGATATATGTAAAGTTATGATTGAATCTCCCAAAGTACAATAGCAGATATATGTAAAGTTATGATTGAATCTCCGTAAGTACAATGGCAGTTATATGTAAAGTTATGATTCAATCTCAGTAAGTACAATGGCAGATATATGTAAAGTTATGATTCAATCTCAGTATGTACAATGGCAAATATATGTAAAATTATGATTGAATCTCAGTAAGTACAATGGCAGATATATGTAAAGTTATGATTCAATCTCCCAAAGTACAAAGGCAGATGTATGTAAAGTTATGAATGAATCTCAGTAAGTACAATGGCAGATATATGTAAAGTTATGAATGAATCTCCCAAAGTACAAAGGCAAATGTATGTAAAGTTATGAATGAATCTTCCAAAGTACAAAAGCAGATGTATGTAACATCATAATTGAATCTCAGTAATTACAAAGGCAGATATATGTCATATCATGATTGAATCTCCGTAAATGCAAAGGCAGATATATGTAACATTATGATCGAATCTCCGTAAAAGGCAGATATATGTCAAGCCATAATTGAATCTCTGTATTAAAGTACAAAGGCATATATATATAAAGTCATGATTGAACTTTCGTAAGTACCAAAGCAGATATTTGTCATATAAGGAGAAGTGGTATGATCTCCAATGAGACCAAAGGATGTGTATGCAAGCAACTTTAGGTAACCATACACCCTTCAATAATGATCAAAAACATACTGTAAAGTAAGCTTTAAAAGGCCTGGCATGACAAAATGTGAAACAATTCAAACAATAAAAACAATGGCATTATCTATGCTAAAACAATAAACAAAAAACAAAAATGGCAGAAAGCAACCAATTAAAACCACTGAATTCCAGGCTCCAAACTTTGGACAGCCTCATTAAGAATATGTTTTATGAGTGCTCAACCCTCTCCTAACCTGGGAAAGTGGTGTAACAGCCCAACATAAGAACATACTTTAAAAATCAGTTGAAAAGGGCTTAACTCATCAAATTGGCACAAAGCACAAAAAAATAACAAAAGGGCAAAAGACATAAAATATGGACCCAAGAGAACTCACAATAACTTAAAGCTAGTTCAAAGCAAATTAAATCAAATAAATTAATAGTGTTTTCTGAGATTGAAATTTCAATCAGTATTATTCCAACATAGTTAGTGAAAAGATGTAATAAACAGTCAAAGAAAATCATGACCTTGTGCAATGCCAAAGTATAAGTATTGACAGGATATGGGACCATAAGTGTTCACAACTGTATGATAATACATATTTAGTTATGTTTAATTTGATTCAATATTTAGTTCTTGGTTTATTGAAATCATTGAAAACCAAGAAAGTTAGAATTCTAAGATTAATAAAAATGCATATTTGACATACAGTCATGTTAAATTGGCTTTATAATTTAATATAGTATTTATGTCATTTTTAAAAACTTATTTGTCCAAATTATACTAAAGAATAATAACTTCTGCTTTTTTATAGGGAATTTACATCACGCTTCCAAAGTGTAGAGACCAAATTGTTCTGTTTACGTGTAATGGTTGGAGTTATCATTCTTTATGACTATGTCCATCCTGTTGGTGCTTTTGCTAAAGGTTCAATGATAGATGTAAGTCAAATCTACTAATCAGTAAAAGCATCAAATAAAAGGATATGTTTATTTAAGTTAGTAGACAGCAACTATCAACACAACATATTCTAAATTACTATTTTGTTACTTTGATGCAATAGAACAATAGAAACATAGAGTGGAATACCTCATGTCGACTGTATACTTTTCTAGACTCGCGGTGATTTAGAGCTTGACATATTGTGTAGAAATTTTTCTATTATTTGGTTTTTTATGTTGTTGGGTTGATGTCTCATTGACCTCACTAAAAATGTTATTCATAAAGTTTATTTACAATTTTACACATATAAAAGACACAACTAAAAACCTAGTATTTTGCTAAATAGAATAAAATTGAAAATGGAAACGGGGAATGCGTCAAAGAGACAACAACCCTACCAAAGAGCAGAAAACAGCCCTAGGCCACCAATGGGTCTTCAACAGAGCGAGAAATCCCGCACCCGGAGGCAGGCTTCAGCTGGCCCCTAAGCAATAACGTATACTAGTTCACTAAACTCTGAAACATATAAATGAACCAAAATTAAAAAAACATACAAGACTAACAAAGGCCAGACTTGCCTGACTTGGGAAAAATTGATAAGATTTGTTGATGTAGAAGAACAAAATATTTTGATGGTATTCAGTAACCTGTGAGCAATGATCAGATATGGTTTATTTTTTTAAAATAATTATGACTTGTGTTTTTTAATAGATAAAAGGTTCCATAAAAGTTCTTAAGGACCAAGAACAGAGACGAGTGGAAGGATTATTAAATGCTTTAAGGTATGGATCATTTATTTAACCAACAATATGTAAAGTATATATCGAAAACACAATCTGGTATAAGTAACATAATAAAACAAGATATAATGTGTTGCATTTCCATTGCAGATAAAAAATATCAGATATTTTAGTTTCTCCGATATATGAAAATTAATTTGAATTTAAACCAGATATCTTAATTGTTTGCTTTCAATGTTTGCCTATAATTCTAGAAAAGTTGTTTTGTTTAAAATATTCTTTCAATGGTAGGAGAAAAATTTATATATGAACAACAAATGAATACTTATTTCAAGTAAATATTTTTGTGGTACTTGCATGCACTCAACATTTCCCAATAACAAATATGTAGGAAAAGATGCAAATTTTGAAGAAGAAAAAAAGGAACTAAGCTATCTTTAGACTATAAAATCTCTGTAAATATTAATGTTATTTCAAAAATATAATATGTTAAACTTTGCTCATAATGATTATTTTTAGTTTTTGTAATACTTTATTTTTATAGGCCGAAAAGGGCCCTTATCGCATCTTTTTTTATTGTTACATATTACACACACTTGTTTAATCCTGATCAGTGCTGAAAGGTGGTCACAGGTATATTTCCATTATTGGCGATATGCAAAAATTGGGCCAGAATCCTAGGCTATGTAAGCCTTCACGTCAAAGCTTCCAAAAAATATTTGAGCCAGCTGGACATTTTTTGTCTTATCCCGATTTAAATCCCTTAAGACTTGGTATCAAAAGGCAATCATGGTAATCAGTTGGGCATCAAATAAACAGTGATTGACATAAAAACAATATTAAACTCGAAAAAAAAAGCTCATTTTCCTAATAGAGATGTTGACTTGAATGGTAAAACACGAACCAGAGACGGATACATAAAATCTGTGTACGTTTACAAAGCAGGATTAAGTTTAAGTAGCTCTTTCCATGTTATTTCTTCAAGAAAATACTCGGGAATAAACATTAGATAAAGGTATCTTTAATTATTTTTGTATTTTTGAAGAATTGGGATGCATAGTTTAATATCACACCTGCGCACACGTGTACTAGTTCAAACAACGTGGTTCTGACGATTTTTTGCTAAAAACCTTTATTACTACCTTTTTAAATTTTTCATTAAATCATATTGATATACATAGTTCTGATAATCTTAATCTTTTTGAGTAAATTAATTAGATGCACACCGCTGAAATTTGAGAAAATAACTTTAGATAGACCAATCAATGTCCAGTACAAAATAGTTTATCTGTCGCCTGAAGAGGTAAATTTTAGCTCTCAGAAAACTAATTATCTTGATTGTAATTAAAGGGTATTTAAGTAGGGTTTGTTTTGATAGTATTTATTCATCATGTCACTTTTATGACCGGAAATGTGGGGCTGTTGAAGTCAAAAGGTCAGGTCAAAAAGATCGCATAAAAATCAATTTTTTCTGAATTATGTTAAAATGGCAAACCTAGGTTATATGTCAGTTTCAGGCTTGGCACTACAAGTCAAACATATAATTTATCGGTCAAGTCCAGACAATACAACGTTTTGGAAGCCCTGCTTCACATTAAGAAGATTTTCATTATTTTCACAATTCCACATATACTTGATTTTCTGTCAATTCTTATAAGAAATGTCAAACAATATGAATGCTCAATTTCAAAATTTAGAACTTTTCACCAAATTTTTCTATTAAAACACTTGGATTTGGAAAAATACCTTTTTACAAAGTAAAAGAATATTCATTTATATCCAAAGGAAAAAGCTATTTTATGACTAGTCAGTACATAAGATACAAGAAGAGGGCAGCCATTGTTTATCTAAAGCAAAAAACTGCTCTAACTACATCATGGTTGAAGAAATGCTCACAAATTTTTGATTGCTCATATATGTTGGGTGTAATACCACCAAATCATAGAACATCACATCTGGTTTCATACTAAAAAGGGTAGAACAAATTTTCCTTTGAATTTGACAGTTGTATGAAATTAATCATACATTTCATTGCAGTAAAATATTTCTGAGTCATAAACATATATCTTGGGTGTTTCAAAGCACCATTTTTTTGTTTATTTGGTGTTTTTATAAAATACTTTGGAAACTTGAGGTTAAATGGTTACTAAAGCTCGTAAACAGGAAAAAAAGGGGTGAAATTTGATTGGTTAACTTCCAGTGATGGTTATTATCTTATAAGCAATGAAATGTTATGTGAAATTTTGTCTGTTGTACTGGACAGGATAAAACCTTACTCATGCCAAGAATTTCTTTATTTGAAACAAAGATAAATTCTGCACAATTTTTTGAAAAGTGCCAATTTAACAAAGACTAATAGGGGAAAACAATGGTGGTATTACTCCTGTTATTTTATCTTCCTCAATATATTTATATTCATATTTTTTGTTTATATAAGCAGTTAATTCATTCTTGTCCAACACTGTGAGTGAAAAAAACTTAAAATTTGAAGAACTTTTATGACTTATTAGTCCCCTACCGACGAAGTCGAAGGGGACTTTAGGTTTGCACTCCGTCTGTCTGTCTGTCTGTCCGGCAAATCAGTTTTCCAGACTTTTTTTCTTCATGCTTGAAGGTATTGATTTGATATTTGGTTTATTGATTAATCATGACAAGTTACAGGTTAAGTTCAATTTTCACGATTTTAGCTTTTCTCTTTGTTCAGTTAAAGCCCTTTCCCTAGAATTAAATTTTTGATGAAATACTTATTAATTAGTAGATTTCTGTTCAAAGGGAAATAACTCATTTTTTAAAAGACTTTTAGAAGACAAAATGACATTTTGGATTTTTTTCCTTTTCTTTGGTAAATTGTTTGAAGAATTTAGTGGTAGGTTTGTTTGTCATTCTTGAAGATATTGATTTGATAATTAGTATATAGTTTTATCATGACAAGTTACAGATCAAGTTGGAATTTTGTTCCAGTCTGATAATTTTGTGCAGAGTTATGGTCATTGGACATAGAAAATTCACTTAAATAATCAGTTTTCAACAGTTTTTTTGTCATGCTTGAAGATTTTGACTTGATATTTTTATGTAGTTTACACCATGGCAAGTTATAGATCAAGTTAGAATTTCCTTCCATTACAATGAATTCTTAACCGGTAGGGGACTATGTATTGCCATGCAATACCCACAGAATGCTTGTTTCAAATGTAATCTTGCAAAAGAAAAAAATCATATTCTGAGTATGTATGAAAAATTTGATAACTCTGGCAATGGAAGAGATTTACTTTTGAATTAATTTTATTTGTTTCTTTCAGGTATACAACTTTACATTTAAATGATGAATCTACACCAAAAACAATCAAGTCCATGTTAGCCACCAATTAATTTTATAGTGCTATATGTCATCATGTGATTGTCATGTGATTTACAACGATAGAAAAATAATGTGATGTGATGTAATGTTTTGTTGTTTGTTATACTTTTTTATAGAAATTATATGCATATTTGTTAAGATTTTCATATTTTGTATGAGCTATTTTGTAAACTTTTTTTCAAATGCTTTATCTTTTTCTGTACAATTTCAGAGTAGTAATTTTTATTATTATGAATTGTTTATGTTTAAAGCTGTTTTGCTCATTGGAGATGAAAAAAATAACTGTTAATAGCAGTATGTTAAGTTTGTTCTTGTAACTGTAAAAACCGGTGTTACTTAAAGAATTTATTACACTGATTTGAGAGTTATCATACTCGTAGGACATTGTTTTTCTTTTCTTCAATTTCTATGACTTAAAGTTTTAAGAAAAAAGTTGCATATCAATGGTTGATTAAATTATGAAAACCTGTTTGGTGTATATGCCATTACTTTATCCAAGGATTTGTTTGTATTTCAAGTATTAAAATTTTTGGCAATAAGTTTATCCAATTGTGTTAAAGTGATAAGTAAACAGTTTATTCTCTAAAAACCAATAAAACAAAAGTACAAAGAAACATACAATACATATTTAAACATGCAATAGTACGACAAATGTTGTGGTTTTATTTTAAAGCCAGTATTGCATAGCCCTTGTTGATGATCTCTGTCTACACTGTTATAATTTCTTTCTATATATAATTAATTAAAATCAAAATATTTGCAGAAGATTTCCTGGAAAAAAAAACATTCTGATATGTTTTTCACACAGATTATAATTATCATGATGGAAATGTACAGTTTATCGAAAATAACATAATTTAGTGATTTATCTTAAGTTCTTTTACCAGAGATAGTTTCAGTGTGTGTTGTCCTACATGACAGGAATTGGTGTATTGTATGATTTATAGGACAGTCACTGATGAAATGAGAAATGTAATAAAATGGCTAGATGACTTTTTTGTGTGCTGTCTCTTTGACATATACCTAGATCTCATTTGATTAATTTCAAAATTCACTGACTAATTTGCATTTATAGAAATCATTGGTACTTGACATATGAATTTTAGTATTTATTCACTCTCAAAACATTCTGAGAAAAAAAGATGATTGATATTGCTTGGAAAAATCTGGACAGAGCAGACAGCTTTTAACAATCACTGGCATATATGTTGTGGATTATGTTTTGCTCAAGGACCACTTATTTCTTAACAAACCAGATAACCGCAATTATTTGTGCCATAGCTATTGTAAACTCATCTGTTTTTGTGTCTAGAGGTATTATATGGAAACATTTAATTATAGACTGGAATATTTTAGATAGTTAGATAGTCTAACAACACATCAATACACAGTCAACCAATGGCAAAAGAAAAGAGCAAAAAAAATTATCAGCTTATTTAAAGAGATTGGCATAAAACAAAAAAAAATCACTTTTATCATACTGAAAAACAATTTTTAGGTCAACTTTAATGCACTTGTGAATATAACCTATTTGGTTTTCCAGATAACATATTTGCGTTATTTATCAGGGTTTAACTAGTAGTTGCTCATGCTATGAGAGATCTGTTTGACTTCCGTGTGTGAATCTGCTGCTTCATAATATTTGTTGTTATTGCGCTGAAAATTCATTGTTTGAATGTGTGGAATTGTACTTTGTTTTGCTTTGTTTACATTTTTGTATACTTGAAATGAATTTTGAAACACTTGACTTTTGTAGAAATTTTTTATTAACCTTTAGGAATGACTGGTAAAGACCAAATTTAATATTATCTGTTGGACCAATTTAATGTTTATAAAAGCGATACAGTATAATAAAATTATAATTATTATGATTTCTTCACCCTCTTTAAACCGACTAAGTTGAAGGATTTTTGAGCATTTTTTTACATGAAACAAAATTTGAAGGTGATTGTTGGGATGAAATCTAATTTCATATGTATTAGACATATGAAGAATTTATCTTATTTCTATTTGTAGACTGAGATACCTTTCTTGTAGGTTAGATGCATGAACAAATTTTGAAATTTTTAGGTTACATAAATAAATGCAGATTTTTTTATGTAATCAGATCAATCAGAAGAGATTTGAAAATTATCTATTTTATGTGTTGTCCAGAAACCTTTTAAGCCTGTTGGTATCACAGGGATAAGTTGTTCACTGAATTGCTTTATTTTCCAAAATTTCAGCAACCAATTTAGATTATCTTAGGGTTTAGTATGTGCTTTGTTAGCAACTTTCATACTAACAGAGAAAAGATGATGAAGTGTCATGTAAAATGATTTTTTTGACGAAAGATGCATTTATAATCTGTAAGTTAAATTTTTTAGAAAAGATTTAAAGTAATTATTGGCAATTTAGGTTAAGGTACTACTTGATCATAGTGCTATCATGAATATCTTGGTAGAACACTGAAATTTACTTCAAGCATATATTTCCAAAAAAGAAAATGAAATATATATATATATATATGATAGTATATCAAAATAGTGGTTCTTCTATCTGGAATTCGAGAAGATTATGACAAAAAGAGGCACATCATAACAGAATTTAGCATGTGATGGTGTATGCCCAAACCTTTGTTAACATTTGGCACTCTATGTTCTAAAATCAAACATTTGAAACACTTATGTTCTGAAATCAATATTCATTTAGTTATGTTTTCAGTGGTAGAACATATTCTTTTGACATACAGAATTGTGTATAAAGAAGCAGGTTTATGCCATTATGCACTGCCAAATGTATAATTTTGGATATCAATTTGTTATTTTACTATAAATACCATTGAAAGGAAAATGTATGTTTGTGTTCATATTACTGAGGGATAAAAATCAGAAAAATTCTTTATCAGAGTAACATTATACATGTAATATTATAGGGTAGGGACGTAAGTGCCACACAAATTTTTTTTCATTGCTTTCTGTGTAATCTTATTTTAATCTTTTAGATGTCAACATTTTATATTTTATACATGGAACAATAAACTTAACATACACACAGTCACATCATATTGAAGTGTATTGTGATTATATTGAATAAATTAATTCAGTAAAAAAAATTCTTAATATTAGTATGTAATTACAAGGGTTTCCAAATTGGTCATATTATAGACTTGTCTTATATTTCTTTTGAATGTCTTTTATAGAATTTTGCTCCGTGAATTTTACCACTTTTTATATGATAATGCCCTTAATAAATTTATATTCCCATACAAGTTGTAAGAGGTATTTTGTAATGTTCTTTTTCATTCTGTAAGGGTGTAAGAATGTCAATAACGTTTTTTGTATGCTTTTTCAAATAACTGTTTTTTGTCAATCAAACCTGTACTATGAAATATCAATTACTTTTGTATTCATCGATGAATGAAAAACATTTATATTATGTGTCTTAGCTCTTCTTTTTTTTCCTAAGAATTACAATTCACTATGAAGAAACATTTTGGTGGTCAACTGAACCTTCACAATGAATTAAATTGATTTTATTAATTGTATACCTTTTGATAAGATACATAAAAAATCTGTTATAAAATTTAATCATAACATATTAAAGACAAAAGAACAGGTACATCCAGCAGCACCTCCAATGAATGCCAGTTTCCTGTAATTAATTTAAAAATATGTTATTTTGAATGCCAGACATTGTTTTAACCAGAGCTCATAGATGTTTTCTAAGAATGTAAGAAATGATAACATAATTTTATAAATCAGTGTAACTTATAACCAGTATAACCATATGTGTACATAAATTATTGACATTCCAATATCCAAAAACATATTTAAACCATTCCAATCAAATTTAATATATTTTGTAATAAAAATCCATTTGTAACATTACCTTTTTATTTATTACTCTATGTAAGTACAAACTTGTATCATATTCCTACTTTGAAATTTCTTTAAAAACATTTTAAACCTCAGGAAATAGTTCTATTGCTTTTCATAGAGTTGACAACTTATAAGGAAGTTTTGTTGTTGGAAAGGAGTATTAACTTGGAATAAAGGAAACTATTTTTTGCAACTGTCATATCTTTGCTTTTTGTTGGCAGTCTTCTAGTACGCTTTAAAATATATCAAGAGAAGTGAGCTTTGTACACATCAGCATATAAAGACGTGGAGTGATTCCTTTTTTTACAATCTGATGCCCAGTCAGTTTTTTCTATAGAAGGAAAGATTTCACATTACCAAACCAAGCCATCAGTCATAGTAGAATATGACATTATAACGTGTCAAATTTTACTTACCAGATATTGACAAGGGTTTCTGTTGTAAATTCTTAAGTGTAGCAGAAACATGATCACAATGATTTGTAATGTGGATAAATGTCAGAAATATTTATTTGGATTTTAATTGTTTTCTTGTAAAGTGAAACTTAATACAGTTATGGATGTCCATATTTCCATTATTCGAATATCCCAAAAATCCAACAGTTGACTTTTTTGTTTTGCCCTTATATATTTAGTTGATTTTCGGTTTATGAATGCATAATAGTTTTGGATTTTGGATGACCTACTTTTAATGGGATTATGATCATGTAGATATTGTGCTAAAGATAGTGTTGAGTTATAGATCAAGCATGTGTTCTCTTTACAAAATTTCAGAGCCCTGTCATTTTGCAGGCAGGGGCATTTGTATCTGCCAGACACTACTTGTTTTTTTTTTATTTCATTTATAGGACAAAGTTGCAAGAGAGAAACTTTTACATTTGCAGTTGTTTAATTAAGTATTTATTTGATGCTAGGTGTAGATCCTATGTGTACTAATATTTCAAAAGTTATATTAAAAATGTAAAAACAGATTTTTAAATACAGATACAGTGTCTGAATGGTATATAGTTAGAAAAATAATTTTAACATAGTAAATAATTATATCATTAATATATCAATAATAAGTGTCTTGTGTTACTGTTATGAAAAAATATGTCAGTATTGCAAACTTTAGTAAATCAATTCTCGTCTTTATTATGCTTCAAGTTTATATCAAATTTAAAAATTCTCATTATGAATCTCTTGATTAAATCATTACATAATTATTACCATGTAAAAACTTGTTATGTCCCTTTGAACCTCTAACTGCAGCTTAGTTTGATCAATGGTGATTAAAACTTCAATTTCATTTTTTAAGTGCATTAGAACTCGTTCAAGTTGTGCAGGTTTATAAAATAATACAAATCCATTTTGCTATGTTCATTTTATGGTTTAAAATGCTTCAGCATAGCAGAAAGGAGAGATTTACCAAGTAATTTATTTGTATGACTGATAAAGCTTTACATCCACTCCATCCTCAATTAATGTTTAAAATTTTAATTTTTCAGTGTTCTCCTTTTTGGGTAAGGTTCTGCAAAAAATGCAGCTTTGGCAACTAGAATTATTCATTTGAATTACACTTTCCCTACATGTATATATCTTTCTAGATTAAGAAGTTCCGAGTAAAGACCAGTCATAAGAAACTTACAATAGTTGAATTGATTTACAAAATTATTATACAAGTATTAGAGTTTATTGCAACTAATTTATATCAAATGGATGTTTCCCTTAATTCTTTTATTCAGTATAAAATAATCCTATCTTGATTCTCTAATTTTTTGGAATATTTGGTATTTGAATATATATTTTTTTTTTAAATTGTTGAAATTGTAAGTCTCAATTATAGATTAAGCAACAGATGGGGCCAAACATAATTTACAAAAATAATTCATATTAACATTATTAGTAATAGACTATATATCAGATGGGACCACAACAGAAATTACAAAAAAAAAAAAATTATTATAATATAAGTACTTAATAAGAGACCTCACAACAGATGTTTGGGACCACAAAGAAATTACAAAAAAATATTTATCAAGTTCAAAATAATTTTGAAATAATACTACAAATTGTATCTCCCCTCTAATGGAATTACAATGATTTCAACTGAGAATGAAAACATTATCTCTCCTGGACTTTTGAATGAACAGATTATTACTTTGTTTGCCTATATTTTTACCAATTTTTTGACGAAAGTTGGATGCAAAAACAAGAATTGATTTACTGTTGGATCTACATCTGATAAATTTTTGTTGTGTTAAAAAATATAATGTGTAGTTGGCTTTTCATCTACTGTAAATTATGTCATTAAAGCCATTGGACTGTATCTAAAGTGTTCTATTTTTATTTTAATCTTTTAGCATAGGGTATGGTTCTGGACTGATTCAATTCATATTTAAAATCACTGCATATTGTCACATCACAGATAACTCAAAGTCTATGGTAGAGTTTCAATTTACATTTTGATCATTTTATTAGGTTGTAAAAAATATTATAGATCGTCTTCAGTGTTGATCTTAATGGAAAGTGGCGATATATAGTGAGTCTATTCATGTGTCTGTGTCTGTATTTTTAACACCATCAATTTTCTATGAAATTTCCATAATATTTTCAGTACCAGAATGGCATTATTCACCTCTAATTATGTCTTAGTGTTTCTTATAGCAAATTATGGACTGTAACATTTTTATATCAAATGAGGAGGAGATTGCAATTTCAATGAAATTTTGATAAACAATTTATCACCTCCTACATCAATTTCAATCTGAATGATTTAGGGCTTTCCAAATAGAAGAACATGAACATCTATGTATGGGGGTTTGGCAACATCACTTACCCTTAAAGTGGATTTCATTGAATCTTACACATAACTTTAACAACTTGTCATTTCATTTTCTTAATATGTGATTTCCTCTGCAAAATATGTATTTTCAGACTTAAGTGAACCAAAAGAAAGTTAACTTTTTATACATGTGTTGAAGACATGTATTGTGGTAAACTATCTGTCCATCCAACAGTCCATCCTTACATCCAAGCAAATCTGGCAATTTCTCAAGTATGCTTTAATGTATCTTTATCAAATTTAACACCATTTCATGTTCCATGAAGACTAGCAACCTTTCAATTTGATTATTTTTAGATAAGTAATTCCAGAGTTATGGGTAACTTAAAAAAAAAACATTTTTTATGCCCCCGCCGTAGTGGTAGGGGCATTAAATTTTACTCTTGTCTGTACGTATGTCCGTCCGTACGTACGTCCCGAAATTGATTTCCGTTCTCTAACTTTAGTTTGCCTCAACGAAATGTTATGAAACTTATACACAATGCTTATTACCACAAAATACAGATCAAGTTTGAATTTTGGTGACATCAATTATACTGTTTTAGAGTTATGTCCCTTTACAAATGGAAAAATTGCTGAATTTTTCGTTTCTGTTCTCTAGCTTAAGTTTGTCTCAACCAAATGTTATGAAACATATACACAATGCTAATTACCACAAAACACAGATCAAGTTTGAATTTTTGAATGTTTAATTAATCAAGTTTGATTTTATTGAATCAAATGAAACCTTTTGACAATGTCACATATTACTAAAAGTTAGCTCCCTTTTGATGTTGATAATACTCAGAATAGTCATGCCAGAGTAATGGGACTTTAATCATCAAAAACTAGCAAATTTTTCATATGCTTCATGATTACAATGTATTTCAAATAGAATTTCATGAATCCTATGAAATTTGTACACACTGTTTTTTTCATTCATTAACATGTATTGTTTATACATACAATGTCCATCCCCACTGATTTATGAAAAGACCTATCATGATCTCCTAGCCTTGCTGTTTATTAATGTTGTTTCTTAACTTGTTTATATAGTCCATCTGTTGCCTTTCGTGCAGAATCCTGGATTTTTAACCTTTCTTTTCAAATAAGCAGTAGTTGCCATCATATATTTCTAGTTGTTATTCACAGAATTTTACATCTTGTATGGAATCACTATCATACATTTTGCTCCCATGGGGCCTCTGCTGATGGTGGTGGCGGACTGACTGTCTTTTCCAGAGGGTACCATCTGCTCATTAGCCAGTGCTTCCCTACTGACATAATTTAAATGATATGTTTTCATAATAAAATGATCATTTCATAAAATATTGACCATAGTTGTACTATAACCAAGAACTAAATTGACCTCGGACGATTTTGAATATTTTGTTGAGGCCTGTTTGGTTTAGACGCTCTTCAATGTTTTATGTAACTTCCCTAACTTAAGATCTCTAGTTTACCTGATGAAGGTTTTTCAAGAAACATGTTGTGTGCTCAAAAGGAATCCTGTGTTTATTTTTTGCTCAAATTTACACAAATATTACAGTAAGAAGATGTTGTATGATTGCCAATGAGACAATGGAGACCATCATACAACAGGTTATTTTGTATTGTCTTAAATATAAACAAATCCCAGTGCCTATTTCATATGCTTACATTATTGGGCTATACTGAAGTAAGGCTTTGGGGAAATAGATTGTCAATAGAATGTTGACAACAAATTACAGAAAATGGGTCATCAGAGAAATAAAAAGGATAAAGATTTGCTACAGAGACAAAGGAAACAGATATTTATAAAAGGTTGGTATTGTAACATTAAAATCACAATATAAGGCTGCAGTTTTCTTTATTTATTGCTTCAGTGATGGGAACATTTAAAGCAATGATATAATTTTTAGGATGCCAGACATAAATGCCTGTTTTGTAGGTGACAATAGTAGCATTTCCTGAAATACAAAATACAATGTAAGTTTACATGGATTTTTTTTTATTGATACTGTGTTAAAATAAAAACAAATTTTATTAACATATTTCAGTTACATTAAAGGAACCTATTGCTTTCCTTTGCCAAATATTTAGTTATTTCCCTTTCAATTTTGCATGTATGGAAATATGGTCGCCTGGACTTCTCTAGTCCAGTAATGAAACATATGCTAAGAAGGTCATCATTTTGGTTGTACAGGATGTATAAATGCAAAAACAATACCGATCATAATGAGGATGTAAAATCCTATACCTCTTTTTGGGACTAAACTTGTGCAGGGAGAAAAGTTAAAATTTTTTTTATGAAACTGATAATATTTCTTTAATTTTCATGCTATTTTCACATTTCTCTATAGGTGTTACAAAAATATTTCTCATCTCTAAAGAAGTCATTGTACTTGGCAAATGATTGGTTGAATTCAATTATGACATCAAAATTTTATACGACTGCTAAAAAATTTTGTGGTTGTATATTGGTATCATGTTGTCGTCGTCGTCTTCCGAAGACAGTTGGTTTCCGGACAATAACTTTAGTATAAGTAAATAGATATCTATGAAATTTAAACACAAGTTTTATAACCACAAAAGGAAGATCGGGATTGATTTTGGGGATTATGGTCCCAACAGTTTAGGAATTAGGGGCAAAAAAAGGGGCTCAAATAAGCATTTTTGTAGTTTCTAGACAATAACTTGTGTTTAAGTGTATGAATCTCTCTGAAATTATACCACAAGTTTCCATACCACAAAGGGATGGTTCAGATTGACTTTGGGGGGTTATGGCTCAAACCATTTAGGAATTAGGGGCAAAAAAAGGGAAAAAACAAGGGTTTCCTGGTTAATGGACAATTTGAAAGGGAGGTAATCCAATCACATTTAATATACAATGTTGTGTATGTTTTGGATGACCTCCCTTACACTTGTAAATTATGTATAAGAAATGCTGTATTGTCTTGAGGTGATTAGCTGTCAATTTATTTTTAAATGTTACAGTAATTAATATTAATTTTAGCCTTGAATATGTATGTCATTTTCTATTTTAAGACTTTTATGATGCATTTTAATGGGTAATTATGGTTGCAAACTCCATTAGAAATTTGAATTGAGATTATGATCTTATCTTGAGGGAAAGAATTTTTTTTGGAAAAAGGGAAAGGGGGGAATTGAAAAACAAAATGGATTTCTGAAATTAAAAACAAAATTTCTTCAAATATTATTGATACGCAACAGCATAGTGTATTGCACAAAAGCATAAATTGAATATAAATTCAAATCACATTACCAATTCTAAGTTCTTTGACTACAGTTATTCTGTGTCAGAAACCTATTTTGTGTCAGATATTTAATTACAATCCAAATTCAGACTTGTATTAAGCGTGAATATTGTGTCCATTTTTGCCCCAACTGTTCAGGGTTGGACCTCTGCGGTCGTATCCAGCTGCGCTCAGCGAAGCAATTTATTTTATTTCTTCTGAATTTCCTATTGTGACCTCATGAAAAAAGGCGACCATGCCTGATAACATCACATATAAAAAACACAACTTTCTGAAAATCTTTGAAAGGAAGGATAAACTTTGTTTAAATATTGTCTAAAAAATCATTAGAGAAACAGATTCCACCACTATATCTCGTGTATTACGATATTTCTCCACTCTCAACAGTTTTAGATTTTAAATGTTTAAAAAGCTCAGCAAGCCTGGCGTTTCAAATTTTAAAATTTAAAAAGGAGTGGGAGCTATATCTCATTCACCATGTCAATCCGTCTTTTCATCCGACAAACATTTCTGTCTTTAGCTTGACCATTATGAGTTGTAACATGTGAGCCCTTTTTGGGATCTGTGAGACAACTTCTTCCTGTTTGCAGATACTTTGAATTTTTCAGTACTTGTTAAATGAACTTTTATCAGCTACTAATGAACAGAATGACTTAATACTTAGTCAGGAGCTTAGACAGTGATGAGTTGAAACCTGTGATCATCTTTTAGATCTGTTAGACTACCTATTACCTGTTTGACGATACTTTAAATTTTTTTATATGTTGAATGCAAAACATAACATTTAACAAAGGTCATCATTTAGGAAAAAATAAATCAGTTTAACCCACTCTTCGTGCTATAATCTTTCTGATTATTGTACATAGATCATTGTGACATACTTTTTGGTTCACTAAAATATGTTATGGTCAGTATTGAAGAAAAGTTTTATATTTCTGTAACTTTTTGTTTAAAACCGTATGTTGCTATCATTGACCATATTTGTATTACTCTTTGGGTATAGTTTGAAGTTTGAATTGATTCATTACCTTTTTTTCTTTATCTATTTTTTAAAAGCCCTATTCCCCCACCACCACCACCAAATACATTCCTTCGTTTACTGTATGACCTGTATAAGTTTCTTTAAATTAAAATAAATAATAATTTCTTCTTTTTGATTACAAATAGAACCAAATTCATTTAAAATAATAATAATAAAACCAGATTTTTTTTGTTTGGTCACAAATAAATTCAACAGAATAAATGATT